TCCCCCCTCTCTCTCTTTGTCTCCCTTCCTTCCTTCCTTCCTTTCTTTCTTCTCTCCTCCCCTCCCCCTTTGCTGGCTTCGGATTCACCACTGACTGGTGCTGAGCACCCTGCTGTGCTGGGGCTCTGAATACAGAGCTGCAAGGCTTTGCATCTGTGGTTGTTTTAGGAAAGACTAAAGTAGTGCTTTATTCTTTAAGGTATCCAGCAGAGAAATCGAGGGAAGCTCAAAGAGAAGGGGAGGAGCAAAGGAAGCAAGGAGAAGAGAAAGAGAGCAGAAGGGTAAAAGCGAATAGGAGCGTAAAGGAAGTATGGATTACCATAGCTGATGGGTGATGCTTACTAGCTCCTCCAAGACAGAGAGAAGTGGTCTGTATCCCTTACATCCCTAGGGACTTGCTTTGTTAGCCCAGGCTCCAAATAAAGGTTTGGCAATCCTATCCAATTCCATCTCTGAGGACAAAAATGACTTTTTAAAAATTGTACATCAAAGGTTGTCATTCCCACCCAGCTAAGAAGAAATAGTTCAGTAACATTTATCCCCAAATAACCCAATGGCCACCCCCACCCCCAACCAAGTAGAAGTATGAACCCAATTCAGAACTGTCAGCTGGAGCTTCCCTTCAGGCAAAGCAGAAAAGCAGCAGAACCACAATGCTTTCCTTTCAAAAACCCCTGATGGGAATATATGTACATAAGTGTGTGAGCCTACATGTGAGTTTGTGAAAAAGGGAAGAGAAGGAAGAGAGAAGGAGATTAATTAACTCAAAGTATAAAGTAATTATATTCTCATTAGGGTAAAAAATAAAACCCCAGCAAAGTATAACAATGCAACAGAGGGTGGTAAAAGGCCTAGGCTAAGAACAAAACAAAGGAGCTTAGGCTTGAGTTCTGCCTCTGAAAATCACTCTGCTGTTACCTTCAAGTCATTTCTTCAATTTGGCTCTCATTATCTCAATGGAAAAATGAAGAGTGATATATGTAGATGATCTTGAAAGATCCTTTTGGACCTAATAATCTAAGCTCTAAAATAGGAAAATCCTGGATGAAAGAAAAATTGATCCTTAAAGAATGAATATATAGATTACCAAATTTCAAAGGTTCTCCAAAGGTGAGTACCCAAACTGAATCCCAAATCACACTTCACAGACCTTCTATTTTGAGTGTTTCAGGGGTAATATGAATATGAGCATAAGTGTAAAAATCTGCTCCTATCAAAGATTTAGCTTCCACCTACATATAATGATTAGCATTAAAGTTTTCATAATAAAACACCTTATACTATATTTTCCAGCCCATTTAGTTAGAGAATCAAAATGTATGCCTTGGCCAGTGTGGCTCGGTAGGATGGAGTGTTGTCCTGTGCCCCATACACAGAAATGTTGTAGATTCCATTCCTGGTCTACTATTGTGTTGGGTCATTCCCTCCAAAAAAATCCTTACACTCTATTCCCATCCAGTGAGGCACATGTGCTTTTCTCCAACTCCATATATCTTAAAAAGCATACTCAATGTTTTGAGTAGAGAGAGAGAGACAGAGATCCTTAGACTCAGAGTCACTGAGCTGAAAGGACACATAAAAATAACCATCTTTGCTACAAACATAGGAATGCATATATTCATTCTGACTGGTGTTTCAGGCTTCTTAAGATATAGTCTTAGAAGTGGGATCACTGGGTCAAATGGCAGTTCCATTTTTAATTTTTTGAGGAAACTCCATACTGTTTTCCATAGTGGCTGCCCCAGTCTGCATGCTGACCAGCAGTGTACTAGAGTTCCCTTTTCTCCACATCCTCACCAGCACTTGTTGTTTGTTGATTTATCAATGGTAGTCATTCTGGCAGGTATGAAGTGATACATCATTGTCATTTTAATTTGCATCTCTCTGATGATTAGTGACATTGAGCATTTTTTCATGTCACTTGGCCATTTGTATGTCCACTTTGGGGAATATTCAGGTCCTGGGCCCATTTTTTAATTGGATTGTTTGTCTTCCTTTTGTGGAGTTGTATGAGTACTTTATATATTTTGGTAATTAACCTTTATCAGATGTATCATTGGCAAAGATGTTCTCCCATACAGTAGGTTCTGTTTTCACTTTGATGCTGGTTTCCTTTGCTATGCAGAAGCTTTTTAGTTTGATGTAGTCCCATTCTTTTTTTGTTTTGTTTTTTCCTTTGTTTCTCTTAAGATCTGGAAATAGCCCAAATGCCCATCAATACATGAGTGGATAAAAAAAGCTGTGGTACATTTACACCACGGAATACTATGCTGCTGTAAAAAAAGAAGGATCTCTTACTCTTGGAGATAACCTGGAGAGACCTGGAGATTATTATGCTAAGCAAAATAAGCCAATCAGAGAAAGACAAGTATCACATGATCTCACTTATATGTGGAATCTAATGAACAAAATAAACTGACAAACAAAATAGATCAAGAGACATGGAAGCATTCAACAGACAGACAATCCTCAGAGGGAAGGTGAGGCAGGAAGAGATTAACCAAAGAACTTATATGCATATATACATAACTCATGGACAAAGACAATAGTGCTGTGAAGGCTTGGGGAGGGGGTGGAAGTGGGGAAGAAGGGGTTAATGGGAAACAAAAAGGGGGACTTCTATAATACTTTCAACAATAAAGATAATTTTTTAAAAAAACATAAACATCTTTTTGTGTTGAAAGAGAAACTGGCCTATAGAAAAATATAGTCTATACAATGTCATAGTGAATCAGTGATTAAATCAAGACAAGCACCCTGACTACCGGCCCCAGTTATAGTATTTTTATCTACCAAAGCAACATGTAAGTTATTCATAAAGCAAGTGTTTATGTGGTCTCATAGTTAAGCACACTCCTTCCTGAAGAAGTATGCATTTTGGTGTTTACATTTGTTTGCATAAACATCCATTGAAATTAACAGATGAGCAAAATGGCAAAAAAATGTTATGAACTGGCATAAAATTGCTGTATTATTTCCTGGGGGTGCCATAACAAATTACCATAAATCTAGTAGCTTAAAAAAATAGAAATTTATTGTCTCACAGTTCTGGAGGTCAGAAGCCTGACATCAAGATATTGGCAGGGCCACACTTACTCCAAAGGGTTTTGAAGGAGAATCTTTCCTTGCCCCTTTCAGCTTCTGGTGGTTTTTGTTTGTTTGTTTGTTTGTTTGTTTTACTTCTTTGGCTTATAGAAACATCACTCTAACCTCTGCCTCAGTCTTCAAATTATCTTCTCTTTTGTGTCTCTACATGACTAAATCTCCCCATCTTTTCATTATAAAGACACCAGTCATTGGATTTAGGGCCCACCCTAAGTCCAGGATTATTTCATTTTGAGATATTTAACTAATTACTTCTGCAAAGACAACATACATCCAAATAAGATTCATCCTCAGGTTCTGGGTGAACATGATTTTTTTGGAGACACTATTCAACCCACTACAGTGAGTGGCCAACTTTTTTTCAAATGAACACACTAAATAAATAAACTTCCTAGGGTACCATAATTTTTTAAAAAAATACATTTTAATACAAATAAGTTAGATGAAAATACTCTCATAAAAACTTTTCTTTAAAGTATACAATTTTAGCTGTGTGAAAAATTAATAGCATTTTCATAAACATTCTCAGTTCACTGCAAACCATAGGAAAACAGTATGAAAACCACTTGTTATAGTGATGAAGTAGTTTCTATCCAACCAAAACTGCTGCAGATAACAATAATAAACTCTGGACAAAAATAAAACAACAATCTAAATGCATTGAAAAATAACCATAAGAAGGCAGGAATTGGAAAAAAGTTGACAACTAGAAGAAAGGAACAAATACTAGGTGAGTTCCCCCCCTTTTTAGGAATTTTTGCCTGAGGGCAGGCCCCAGGCCAAAGCAGTAACTAAAACTCTAGAAAAACAACAAGCAAGTGTTTGAGCTGCTAAATGTTTAATAACTGGCTCTCCAGGAAAAATAAAAGCCTGATTCGGAGCTTTTCCCAATTTCCATAGTGTAAATACTTCCACCATGGCCAATTCTGTCAACATGAACTTGAGAAGAGTTGTGCACAGTTGGCTCTCACAAGCCAGTGCCATTTGGCTACCTAACACAGCTGTTCACAGTCCTAGTGGCTTTGAAGAACCAGCAGACAGAGTTCAGGATGACCACTGAAGATGGAATGTGAAAAGAGAAATCTAAGAATGGACAGAACTACAAAATGGGAAACCCTAATTCTGTGTATAAACTGCCCAAATCTTTGGTGGAACCATAAATAATGCATGTGGGGACAGTTTCCAAGAAGCCTAAATAAAGCTGAATGAATTAGAGATTTCAGTGCTGCCCACCATAAAGGAGAATTTAGATTTTCGGTTAAGCCATACTAACTGCCTTCTAAAACAAATAAACATAAGCAGTACTCCACAGAGAAATAAAGAATATAGAGATCCTACACTACTATATCACT